CCACCATTCAATTTAGATTTCAAAATTTTCCTAACTCTGTTGGTGTACTCTCGCCTGACAATAGTTTTTACTTCTTGCAGATATCCTAGCATAGAGGAAACCAAATATTTAGGTATCTAAATCAGTGATTCCCAAACTTTTTTTGCCCATGCCCCACCTAAACATTTCTAAAATCCTGATCCTCCTCCCCCGTGACATATAATTCTTACTTTACTCAAAAGTTGAACTCTATTCACATGGAAGAAGCCTAAACAAAGTTCAAATTTCCCCCATTAAAAATCAAATTGCCCCCTCTGGGGCGTCGCCTCCATGTTGGGAACCACTGATATAGATGGACATCTGAAAAATATCATTTTAATCTTAGCAGAAAACAGTTTTTCCTGTTTAATACACATTTCACTTAAGTTTTTTTTAATACTGTGCAATCTTTCTAAATTTTGCAGAATAGATATCCATTTTAATGAATCCAATATAAAATAAAAGCAAGGATTTAAATTTGATCTTTGGCCTGAATCCTAGCATCCACATGGGATAAATCAAATTAGGATGTGTACTGGGTAAACATGCATAGGATAGCATTATTTGCCGTATTTATAATAACTGCTGCATATGTTAGGATACAAAGAACACAAGAAGTGCTTTGTTGTATGTGAAAACCCATTAGCAAATGACATTGGGAACTTTAGATACATCACACTTGTTTAAAACAAACTCTTCTCAGATCTACTCTGTAATTTGGAATGTAACTGCTGAACCACCACTTATAAAAAAACTCAGTGACCAAGCCACTATTCAAATTGCTAGGTAAGATTATATATACAACACATTTCAGAGTTAACAAAACTCTCCCCTAAATGTAAATCTTTGTTATGCCAGTAATATATATGTGGTAGGATTGCTATCTTTTTCATTTTGTGCTGGAATTTTGATTCAAAATTACTTTTTTTTACTGTATGATTTTTATTTTTTGGCTTTTCCCATATCCCTAGTTGAAATGTTTGCATTCATTTTTCCATAAACCAGTGGCATAATTCATGCTTTGCACTACTTAAAGATGTCCAGAGAACTGCTTTTTATAGATTTTTCTTAAGTTTTCTGTGGTAGGGTGGCACCATCCTCTCCATGCAACCACACTAACATTACTTCCTCAGGCACCTTATTTTTCCTTCTCATCCATTTCTAAATTGTTTCCAACTTGTCAGTATTTTTAACCATAAAATCATGGGATTGAAAAGGATCAAAAAGGGATCCAACCCAAGTTTCTGACATAAATTTCATCAATCTGCAAACATTCCCCAACAGTTTATAGGCTCCAGATCACAGTGCACCACAAGTAAATATACAATAAAAGGTGCCAACATTTATCATTCATTCCTGAGTCAAATTAAGTATTTATTCTAAATAATGTTTACTGAGTGAGGGAAACATGTTTTCATGTTAACTATTCAATTTGGTAATAGATTTTTGTGGCCTAAATTTTAATATCTTGAGTCAATTTTAGCAGTGCACAAAGTATGTACAAATATTCAACAGAAATGATTGAATAATTCTTAGGATAGCAAGAGATTGCCAAATCATGATTGAACAAGATGAGAGTTTTTATATCCTTTGAGGGATTGTAGTGAATCTGCAGCTCTGGGGTGGCCACCTAAGTTTTACATGATCATCATATACCCCTTTTTCCTGTTTCACTATTGTGCTCAGTAAGAATCAATAAAAAGTCAATAATTGAAAGAACATAGTTACCTAATGTATGCCTCTTATGAAGCTGAGTGGTTGTTTCTTTTACTTTGTTCAATATCCACTTTTGTTAAACAAAATGGAACATATAGTTTTTTTTCCAATTCTTCATCATAGACAAATCCTTGCCCAGATAATCATTTAATCATATCGTTGATAATAAGGCTGATTGTACATATATGAGTAACCATAAAAAATTCATGACAAGGAACTTATCCTAGCCACAAAAATCATAACAATATGAGTTCATTCCAAAGATATTCTTGAATATTGGAATAGAGTTTTCTTTTTCTTTTTATCCTTTAGGGTGCTTTCTATTATTTATAAAAGAACAAGCATTATATATATTTTTCCAAAGTTAATATCTCAATCCCAAAAGTGCTTTTTTTCCCCAAGAGGTAACTGGACTTCCTGGGTTTTCTTTGAAGATGTTTTTTTAGCTCTGAAGAAAAGTTGAAGAGCTGAAGAAGCTTCTTGGATGAGAAGCGAAAGATCTTCAGAGAAAAACCAGAAAGTCCAGTTGCCTCTATGGTGGGGTGGGGGGTGGGGAAAGCACTTTTGTGACAACCATGACCTGGATTACTGAATCTCCATAGACATGTATAATCTCAATAATTCTACAGGCTGACAAAGAGTTGTTAAATATCTTTGATAGTTCAGGCAGAGTCTGTCATTATAATGTTTATTCAGTAGTAAAATAGCCAGATCACTTAAATGCAAAAGGTAAAATAGCGGTTCTGCGTAGTCTAATAGATTATTGATTAGGGAAACACTAAAATATTATGGATCAAAAACCCATCATCAGTGATCAGAAATCAGGCTCAATATCCATTCTTAGGGACATTGTGGAACATGTTACATGCTCTATTCGGGTCCATTTGCTGGAGACAGTTTGTCTAATAGTGGTTATTTGGTTATAACTCTTGGTAAATACTTTTTATTATGCTTTTAAAAAGTATTTTTAAAAGTATTTTGGAAAAGTATGTTCAGGGTAAAGAATTTTAATACATATTAACTCCCTTTTTAACAACCCTGTAATCCCTTAATTTGGGGTAGAGTTGCAGCAACTGGATAGAGCTGAGCGTTTACTGGCCAGATGCCTTTCCTGGCATCACATGGAGTTTGTAGCAGATTTTTTTCCTTTGCACCCTAGGTGAGAAACATCTGCTGATACTTAGGATTGAACTCCCAACCTTCCGAGTGGGAGTCTTCACACTAGGCTACCATGCTGTTCAATTTTAATACATATTATAACCTGTGAATATTGTTGATAGTTATCTTCACATATCTGTTACCTGTACAAATGTATCAATGCTGAGCAACATGCAACAAGATCATGTCGGTGAAATTTAGAATAAAAAATACTAGAAATTGATAGCACAGTTTTAACTCCGGAAAGAGCAAATTACTGTATAATATTTTGTACTTGTTCAAAGTCACAAAAAGTGGGTGTTGGAAACTTCATGTATATAAATTGCAATCCATGCAATTAGGTCACTTAGTTATTCAGATGTTCATGTGATAAACAAAGTTGTAGACACCTTTAAAGGATGAAATTTTAAAGCACCATAACTCCAAGATCCTGGCAGTAAAGTTTGGCATCTTCATTC